ATGCAGTTAAACCATGTTGCTCGTGACTTCAATCATGGCTTAGGGGGTCGGGGAGATGGCTCAGTAGAATAAGTGCTTCCCTGGCAAGCACAAGGGCCCGAGTTCAATCCCTGGTTCTGAAAAAGAAAAAAAAAAAAATCAAATCATGGCTTAGTATTGAAACCTAACAAGAGCCCTGGACACTGAGATGTTGGTTTCTTGATTGAACATGAGGACATTTTGGGGGAAGGTGACGTGTCCTGACTCCACGGGCAAAGTCCACAGATCTGTGGAACACTTATACACTTTGCTTTCTGTTTGGCTGGTCTGGGTTTTTTTGTTGTTTTTGGCAGTGCTGGAGGTCAAACCTAGGGCTTCTGCATGCTGAGTACAATGCATACTCTGGCTCCGAGCAGATTCCCAGTTCTTGATTTGTGTTCTCTACAATAAAACTGTCATAAGTATAGTTTTTGCCGAGTTCCCTGTGCATCATCAAATCATTGAACCAGAAGAGTTGCGAGAACCTTTGAATTTATAGCCAGTTGTTCAGAAGTACAGTAGCACGAGGACCTGCAGAGATGACCCTGGAATCTGAAGTGAAGGCAGGCTTGTTGGGAACTGGTGCCCTTCGACCTGTAGAGTGTGCACGCAGTGCAGGTCCTTAGCATTGGAACTGCATGCATCGTAATATTACGCTGCCACATGCCTCGGGCTCTGAAGCCGAAGGGTCTTTCCCTCTTCTGTCAGTGCTAAGTGGTGAGTGCTCTGGGCTAGGCTTTTTGGAATAATTGGAGAGATAGAAGCTATAGTTCCTTATATGTTTTGCTAAGGTAGCCAAAGGAAGCATGGGTTTAAGTGACATTTCAGGTGGCCTTAGAGACTGAGAAGTTGAGCGCTTAAGAGAACATTTGTTTTGAGACAGAGTCTTGCTGTGCAGTCCAGGCTGGCCTTGAACTCACTATGTACCCAATGCTCCTCCTGCCTCAGCCTCCCAAGTACTGAGATTACAGGTGTGCACCATTATGCCCAGTGAAAACATATTATTATGTTTAATGGGTGGCAAGTAGTGTTGGCCTGGATCTGTTGAGAGAAAATGGAGATGAGTTGGGGCCCCCTTGCTGAGGTAAGTAAAGTAATCTTTGAGAATTTGGAGCCCAGTGGGAGAATACAGACGCATATAATACATACTGAAAACACCCAACCAATTAGCTTCCCATCACTGACAAAACACCTAAGGTAATAAACCTAGTAAAGAAAAAGGTTGTGTTGGCTGGTTTGTTTATGTATTTACTGGGGATTGAACCAAGGGCCTTCACATGCTTACCACTGAGCTAGCTGTTGTGGCTTACAATTTCACAAGTTTCAGTCCATGGTCACTTCTGTGTTGCTCAGGGCCTGTGGCATCAGCATGTCATGGCAGTAGCTTGCAGCAGAGGACGACTGTTTATCTCACGGCAGCAGGGAAGCCAAGAGACAGAAGGGGCTGGGGGTCCTAATATTCCATCAAGGACACAACTTCATTGTCCTAACTTCCATCATGTTCTTCCTCTTAGAGGTTCTACCATAGCAGGTGGCCAAAACTTCAGCACAGGGCTGGGGTGGGGGATTCAAGATCCCAACCATGGCAAAAGAACACCATATATTGGGCTGGTGAGATGGCTCAGTGGTCTAAAGCACCTACTTAGAACAAGCTAAGCAAAGCACAGGGACCATGGTTCAATCCCCCAGCACCACATGCCAGCCAGCCCCGCCCCCTGGTGGGCTGAGCTGGCCACACACACACACACACACACACACACACACACACACACAAATAAAATTAAAAAAAACAAAAAACACCATATAGGAGACAGTATGGGCGCCACATGAAAAGAATTGGGATGAAATTAGCACGTAGGAAGGACGTCCTTGGGCACAGGGGCTGAAGGTGAAAGCCTGCAACATGATGAGAGTCATGAGATGGAGGAGGCAGTGTTGGGTGGTGCACAGATGCGCTTGGCAGTACAGACCTCAGGCCTGAAGGCCTGGGCCTGGCGGGCCCCTGCCTGCTCTACCTTCTAGCGGGACCGTGTCCTCAAATCCTGGGTGTGCTTTGTTAGGGAGAGGCTGATAGGTCCTGGGTCTCTTTTTTCCCAAGGGTACTAAATTAGCGTGTTGGCACAGATATAACAAAAATACCACATCCTGAGTAGCTTAAACAACAGAAATGTATTTTGTCACAGCTCTGGAGACGGGAAGTCTGAGATCAGGTCTCGGCAGGTTTCTCTGGAGGTCTCTTTTCTTGGCTCGCAGGTAGCTGCCTTTACCCTGTGCCCCCACATAGACTTTTGACCACATGGGCCTTCTCCCTTCTTAAGGGGACACATGTCATACCAGATGGATTAGAGCCCGCCTCATTTAGCCTTACTTTTCTCTTAAAGGCCCTATTTCTAAATATGGTCATAGTAGGGCTTCATTGTATGAATTTTATGGGGATGGAATTCATAATAAGCAGT